AAATGGTTTTGTACTCTCGTCTGAAGCGCCTGTTGGTAGCGCCATATATAAATGGGTTGATTGTACTACTAAGGTAGGCCAGAAACCCGTATGTAAGATATACCTGTCGTGGCAAAGTGGGCTCTCCACGTGCTGCGTCGATGTAATCAATAATACAGATAGGAAGCCAACATAAGGAAAAACTGGCCATGACCAAAGCTAACGTCTTGGTCACTTTGGCTTCTTCGACGTTTGCTCTGAGCTGTTCAGGGTTATTTTCTTGCGTGAAAACACGATTTGATCTTGACACTGTGTAGAACACTTTGGCGCAGCAGAAAGTGATGAGTGTAAAGGGCGCAGCGACAAACACACATTCGATGAAGGCGGTATAAGCAATGTTAGTTGGGAATGGGTACATGCACATTGCTTTTCCAGGTTGGAAAGTGTATCCGCCTGTCTGAAAAATTAGCGGAGGCACTGAACCAATGAGAGCCATACACCATACTACCGATGTGTACATCACAATTCTTTGCCTCCGGAATAATACAATGTACCTCGTTGGTTTCACTACGCAAAAATATCGGCTAACTGCAATAACCCCCATGGTATTTAGAGAGGCCAATGAAAACGTAAACATTGCAAAACCCTGGAGTCGACAAACACTGGTCCCGAAAATCCATCGGCCTTGAATGAGAGCGGCCACTGAAAGAGGCATACAATAGACCGATATTAGAATATCGCTGACAGCTAACGCTACAACAAACATATTGGCAAGCGATCGAAGTCTTTGGTTTCCATAAACGGCGTAGCAAACAGAAATATTTCCGGAGATGGCTGTTATGTTGATGATAGCAAGGAAACTTGCTTCAATCCAAATTAAATGCTGTGCTCTTACAACGAGCTCCCTGGAAAGCAAATTTTCCATAACGAATTCGTTGAGAGAATTCAGGAAAAGCTTGTAAAGATGTTCTTTTTTTTGTACCACTGAAAAGCTTTTCAGTCTGCTGTTTTTGTTTGGGGGACTGAGTGGCCTTCTTTACAGCAGGTGTTCGTCTCATTTATGAAAAATGTTAACAAGTAGTTATTCATGTAAGCACCAAAAAAGAAGATAATTCCTTCTTTACGGTCTAGTCAATAATTAAACAGTTGCAAAACATAACCCCAACATAACTCCAAAAAGTAGAGATATATCCGAGTACATAAATAAAAGAGTCTGTCTCTCCCTTCGTTATATATTTGATATTTGTCTCTTAAAGGAGTCTTTTGGTTTCATTCACATCTCATACCTTTCTTTCCGTATTGTGATTCTTTTTTTCCACTACAGGGAGGATCGAAAAGAGTTCGATGACATAATTTAGGGGAAGCTTGCGATATTCTTTGAAATAATGCTTTGAACTCCGCTGTCTTTTACGTTTAATGAGAGAAGTAGCTGTCTTTACCGTAGGTGCTCTTCTCATTTTTTATTAAAAAAAGGTAACTTAGTAGCCCAATTGCGCCAAGAAGCAAGTTAATTTGAATTTATTACTTACCGAGGTCTAGTCAAAAATAAAACAGTTCCAAACCCTACAATAGCTCAAAGAAAATTCTCGAAGTAATTCAGCTAACAGTGTCTGTCCATTGGTTAGGGTATTAAATATACTGGGAAATAATTTCTACTGCATGTGGAGATTGAAAATTTTTTTATCTGAACAAAATTGACATAACAAGTAAATGATTACAGCTTCCTTTACGTCGCAGATCTTTCCGTTCTTTGTGATTGGTTTACGGATTATAATTATAAACTTGAAATTTATCTATTTGCATCCAATATCTTTATAATGAGTATTTTCATAATACACATGACACGCTATCAAGCTCTCGTTAGTTATGAACAGATAGTACATATATATATATATATATATATATATCTAGCCGAATTTTTGAAAACATACCTCAAAATGGACCAGAATGTTCGCACAGAAAGCTGGCGATCGCCAGCTTTCTGGTCACTGCGGTGCGAAAAAACATAGGGGGCTTGCTGTCCTGGTTGGTCTCATTGACAAGTTCAGTCCCTGAGCTAACTCGCCATGGGTTGGAAAGGGGCCTCCATGTCAATCCCTAGGGGGGTAGGGTGCTGAAAAAGCGTTGTACCTTCCGTTAGTCCTGGTCTGGGAGAGTCAGTGCACTGCTCATGTCTGCCTTTGGTTTGTCATGTCAAATTCTTGTAACGTTTGAGGCCCATTGGCCAATGAAAGCATTCCCCTTAAGCACGTGCTAGGCTGGGGGGGTGGAGGAAGTCAGGGGGGGTGATTTAACCTTGAATTTCTCTGCTTAGAACTTGCTTAAGTCTCAAGCGTCCTCCGTCATTCAGGGCCTTTAAGCAGCTAGAGTGTATGGACAAGTCCAGAGTGTCTTTTTGATGGACTGGAATGTTTCTTTTGCTAATCAGGAACCAAGAAGAGAGTCAACTTAAGAGAACCATGGGTAAGAGCTGAGTGTCTTGGCCATATTTACTTTAGTTGAGTCAGTTTAAGGTGTGTGGGCTGCTGGTGTCCGATGGTACGGTTTTCATAAATCCGGCTAGATATATATATATATATATATTAGTCTCTAAGCAGTCTCTTGGTTTCATTCACTTCTTTTACCTTTCCTTCCGTATTGCGATTCTTTTTTTCCACTACGGGGAGGATCCAAACTAGTTCGTTGCAATAATTTAGGGAAAGCTTGCGATATTCTTAATTTGTAATAATGCTTTGAACTCTGCTGTTTTTTACGTTCAGTGAGAGAAGTAGTTGTCTTTACTGCAGGTGTTCTTCCCATTTTTTATTAAAAAAAGCTAACTTAGTAGCTCATACTCCAAGAAGCAAGTTAATTTGAATTTATTACTTACCGAGGTCTAGTCAAAAATAAAACAGTTCCAAAGCCTAGCTCAAAGAAATAGAGATATCGAAATAATTCAGCTAACAGTGTCTGTCCATTGGTTAGGGTATTAAATATACTGGGAAATATTTTCTACTGCATGTGGAGATTGAAAATTTTTTATCTGAACAAAATTTATATAACAAGTAAATGATTACAGCTTCCTTTACGTCGCAGATCTTTCCGTTCTTTGTGATTGGTTTACGGATTATAATTATAAACTTGAAATTTATCTATTTGCATCCAATATCTTTATAATGAGTATTTCCATAATACACATGACACGCTATTAAGCTCTCATTAGTTATGAACAGATAGTGTACGCTTTCTCCTTTTATTTACAGTGTTGATCACAAAGTTCGTAAGATTCAGTTTCTGTTTTATTGGTATTGAACTCTTTGCACTTTTGAGAGGATAAGAGCGTTTTGGGCTGCACTTTTCGTCCTTTTGAATATTTGTTTCTTTATGTAGCGTTATTAATAATATGTACAACTTTAAACTAGTAAAAGTAGTACAGCTGCCCCCGCTCTTTATGCTGTCGGCCAATACAGCTCTAAAGTGTACGTGACTTCACAAAAAATTAAATTTGTGAAATTGTGGGATTTGTCAGGATATTCTGAAAGAAGAACATCCGAGAGGCCTACTCGCCAAAAAATAGTATTGTGGGGCAAATTTTCTCTGACATATTAGCCCAGTTATGCTGTGATGACTCCACACAAATCCTTCTAAATTTGACTTGGGTCATAACGTTTAGACCTAGGTCAAATTTAGAAGGATTCATTCTTTGAGAGTAAGCTGGCCTTTCGAGCGAAACAAAAAATTCTACGGCCGCTATTGCCATAAATGGTCTATATGGGCATGTGCCGCTGTGAAGTATGGTTTTCAAGCCTGTTAAAAATGGGAAAGAAAAGAGATTAGAAAATTTTGGTCTGAGCAGTTGGTTGAAAATTTTAGTCAAGGGCAAAATAATGATATCGGCATAAAATTTTAATTTCCTGCAACTCAGTTTAAAAGCAAATAAAGTGTCAACCTCGGTTGCTTCTTGAAAATAGCGACCCTAGGATTGCGAGGGATTTTGGGAGGTTAGCCTCTCATAGAGTTACAGTGTTTAGCCTAAGTAGGTCTGATATAGGCTTAGTGATTGAGGCCCTCTAGACTGTTTTTTTCCTCTTACTATTAACATTGATATTTGTCCTTCTTTTTGAAATGCAATAAGGGATTATAAATATTATATCATTAGTTGTTATTGTGGAATACAGTAAAAAATCCAAGTATAAGAACCTAAAATTCAAGAACCTGTTAGGCTAAAATTTTCATTTTAAACCCCCTTTTCATAAGAACCTGGCCTTAATCTTCAATAGGTTTTTATTTTACAAAAATGAAGGCACAGACGAAAATACAGAATGAAAAATTTTAGTCCAGGTTTCAGTCAGTAAGATTCATTTACTGTATGGTTATTACCTAAACTGTATTCTAGATAATCATGCAATACAGCAATATATTCTATGTCAGATATGCCCTGCAGTAGTTATCTATGCTGATCGCTAATGCCCCGATCAAATTGAGAACCTATTTAAGAACCTGAGTAGCCTAAAATTCCACTAAATACCATTTCTATAAGAACCTATTGAGGCAACTAGATAAAATCTAGGTTCTTATTCATGGGTTTTTGCTGTATACGTTTTTAAGATACATAAGTCGGTTATACCGGCCGTTCACCATTGAGCTCACGGAAATGGCGCTGTATAAATTCTTGTATTATTAAATTATTGTATTATTACACGACCACTTAGGCTTCATGTTTATGTTTGTACACGACCTTAAAGTGTTATATCTTTTGAAGGTCATAAGTGATCTATAAATAAAGATTTGTGTTTCTTGCATCTTAAAAGAAGGATTTCCTCGGCGTTTGGTTACGCTCCGCGGAAGAACCTCATGGCTTAATCTGTGGTAAACCCTTTTACTTCTCCACGCAGTTATCCTCCCCAGGCAGAGAGAACTGAGTAGTAATTCTTATTGCATAAGTTATAAGCCCCTCGGCAAACCAAATTTAACTAATAGCTTTTTATCAACGACCTTTCAGAAGTTTTTTGTAAAGTCTTTTGATATACAAATTGGTTCGATTATTCTCTTTCAGCCGAGTTTGAAGGTCGACAGCATTTCGAACACAAATTTGGCAGGTTGCCCAAAACTGCTCCATACCCTTGCCTGAAGCGCCTGTTGGTAGCACCATATATGAATGGGTTAATGGTGCTGCTCAAATAACCCAAGTACCCGTATGTTAGATAGGCCTGACGCGGTAGTGTGGACTCCCCACGCACGGCAGTAATATAATCCATTATGGAGATAGGAATCCAGCAAAATGCAAAGCCAGCCATCACCGCCGCCAATGTTTTGGTCACTTTCACCTCTTCTACGTTAGCTCTGAGCTGCTCGGGGTTATTTTCTCGCTGGAAGACAAGATTTGTTCGTGAAACTGTGTAGAATACTTTGACATAGCAGATTGTGATGATTGCTAAGGGCGTTGCTATATACACACATTCAACAAAGACAGTAAAAGCAACGTTTGTTTCGAATGCGTACATACAAACTGCTTGGCCTGGTTTAAACCTGTAGCCATCGAAAAAAAGCGGAGGCGTTATTCCAACCAATGCTGCAAACCACACAATGGCAATATAGGCCAAAATTTTTCGTTTGGAAAATAACATAGGGTACTTGTGTGGCTTTACCACGCAATAATATCTGCTCACGGCGATTATTCCCATCGTATTAAGTGAAACCATTGAAAACATGAAAAAGGTCACGCCGTGAAAACGGCAAAAATGCGACCCGAAAATCCATTCCCCACGAAGCAAAGTAACGATCGAAAAAGGCATATTGCAGGTGGATATTAGGATATCGCTCAAAGCCAAGGCTAAAACAAACATGTTTGGAATCGTGCGAAGTCTTTGATTTCTGTACACAACGCAGCAAACAGAGAGGTTTCCAAGGAAAGCTGTCAAGTTGATGACAAGAAGCAAAGCTGTTTCAAACCAGATTTGATGATGACTTCGTTTAGGAAGCTCCAAAGAGATTGACTCATCCATATTGATTCAAGGTACTCTCTGAAGGTTTTTAAGCAAAGAAGCAAATGATGGATCACTATAAATGTGAATGAAGATAACAGTCGATTTAACTCGATTTACTAAAATTCAGCATAACAGCGAGTTTCTTAAGAGCAGAGACGCAATTAAAAATCCACTTGGAAAATGCTTTTACCCTGAGGGCGCTTCTCGTGGTCGAATTTACAATTGGCTCACCAACCCCGACGGGGGGGGGGGGGGCCCCTCTTTTGGCCCCCCCCTGGCCCCCGTCCCTCCCAACGGAAGACCAAAGCTTTCAGTCGGTTGGCAAAGGGAAGAAAAGAAAAGAAAAAAGAAAAAAAGGGACCCCGTTTATTTTTTTCCCTTTTGGAAGAAAAAAATATTGTTTTGCTTTTTAAAGTTCCGAGTTTTTAGCATCACATATTTTCAAAAATCCTTTTTATATCGATGTGAAATGTTGAGAAACTGGTAGTTGTTTTTCTCGTCGTTGTTGTTTTTTATCAATTTTCCGAACCGATTAGAACACGGAGTGAAAAAGCGTGTGTTTGAATGACAGGAAAAAATTGTAATTTAAAAAATATTATTCTATATGAAACGTTTTCCTAAGAGACAAATCACCTTCCAATTGGCAATGAAAAGTCTTGGGCGAGCCTTGTATTTACACTTTCATACTGACTGAACTCAAGTTAACCTTTTGAGGATATCTCTCCTTGTCCCCCCAGGAGGAGGGGGGGGGGGG